AAAAAGATTGGTACAAGACCGGTCCTATGACCGGACCAATGGTCTTTCGGTCTGGATCGGATCATTCCCATCCCTAGGTAGAAATCCAGCATTAAAAACCCAAAATTATTCCTCAATTCCTTTCTATTTGTAAGATTTGTACATAAAAGATCAATTGCACTGCTACGTGAATCTTTCAAGCATGTTTTAATAACATTCCTATACGTGCGTTCAATTTCCGTATCCAGTGATATAGATAATGTCGGCGTAAATTCATGATGAATTGATTTAAGTACTCGCAAACCGAATATTTCTACCATTTTTGTAGAATAAGAATTCGGTATCAAAACAAGTATTGACGATAATGATAGGATCTCGTGTGTATTTGACTCAACATACAGTCCATTAGTTTTATTAGCATGTGAAATGGATTCATTAATATAAGATCTAAATTTTGCTGATATGTTAACATTATTTACAATCAAATCAGCCTCTGAATCTCTTAATCGTGATAAACTCGAAGGAACATTAGTGATAATAATCTTTTCATTTTCGGTGAATGAATCTTCAGAAAAATACTGCGGTGTTGGAGATGGAGGTGTATATTCATCATCACTTTCATGACTTGAATCAGTATCTGTATACGAATCATCATCCGATTTATTGGATAAATCATGTTCTTTATTTACACCATCGTTAGCAATACTCGGACCCTTTTTTACATGTAAAATAATGTCAGTTAGTGTTTACAATCAATAAACAAAAAAATCATTGTTTGAGCTTTACTAACATTTTGCTTGATAAACTGGAGATGTGTTTGGTTTAGAGCCAATTTTTCACCGCTAGTGGCCTTTAATTGAGCTGTGAGGTGGGACTCAAGATGAACTTTTTGTTTGCGTCTTTGACGCTTCGACTGTTCTTCCAAAGATCTTGAGATAGCTTTCGCTTTGCGCTTTCGTTGGGATTCTTTACTAATCTAATGTGAAAATACAACAGATGTCAGTGATGTATTCGATATACCTTCAGTTAAAAATAGTATTGGTTTTTCAAAAACCACGTCAAAATTCGCACCTTTTCAAGCTTATTTCGTGCACCGTCAACAACCAAAGGGTCTTCGCTCTTTTCCATTATGTATCTTAGAGAACGGGCAAATTGGGAACAAGGATTCTGGCTATTGGAGAAGTACCGAAATTGCCACAATTGCCACTTCGAGCGGGGATATATGTGGAAAAACTTGTGAGCTTTATGAGGAATAGGACACAACTGAGAACACGTTGACACGTGCATGTTATTCACTTTATGCTCAATACTATATGATATATGAATTATTATTGACGTAACTTTTATTACGTCAGTTACGTCAGTAAAGTCTGCGGTTATTACTTATTACTCACATAGTCACGTGCCAGGGTCACATGGTGGCACACTTATTTTTTCATTGTACATTTTTCTTTTCAGCGTCACTCTTCTTTTCATCGCGTTCACTAAACACCGGGGAGGCAGACCCTGTACTGTGTATGGTCTTTGCCTATATATTCTATATATTCGCAACAGGTCCTTTAAAGGATGGACTGGGGCGTTTCATTACGACCCCTAAGACTTTATATTTCTTCTCCCGGTAGTCATCCACACCGTGGTTGCATTCCAGACATCATATGAGCGCGCAGTAAACACCGGGGAGGTAGACCCTGTACTGTGTATGGTCTTTGCCTATATATTCTATATATTCGCAACAGGTCCTTTAAAGGATGGACTGGGGC